CTATCTATCTATCTATCTATCTATCTATCTATCTATCTATCTATCTATCTATCTATCTATCTATCTATCTATCTATCTATCACAATACAGTGCAAAGATACCCCTCAACCAGGTTTTTGTTTTAATTTTGGTGGGTGGAGTCAAAGAAGTGATCATTATGATAAATCAATATGCAGATGTGATGAGTAGTCTTTCTTTCACCCACACAAGGAGAAAACACACAGACCAATAAAAAGAAGAAGACCTCTAAACATTGGCAGTCACAGCAACCAAGTGAAGAGAGTCAGAGAAGAGAAGGCTATGAAAAGTCAGTGAGCGAGAAGGTTAACTGTCAAAAACAGGCCAGTAAGGGAAGAGGGGACAGCCAGGAAGGGAGTGAAAGTGAGAAAAAGAGATATTGCGCATGGGCTGGTTGTGATTCATTCCTTCACTTGGGGCAAACACCAATGAATAGGCAATGGAAACTTCAGCAAATGTAAATGCGCTTTGGTTAAAAATATAGTGGGCTAATGTGCACCACATGTTGCTTGCTGGCAAGTGTTGCTCTATTTTGACTGGAAGAAAGTCTAAGAAAGCCAAGTGGGGAAGAAAAAAATAGACACTGGAAAGAGATATCAGAAGGGAAATGAAAATGTGAATACAGTCTGATAAGGTTTGACTGTACTTTACCTTGAGCCTTTTCCACAAACACCACCTTGGACTCAGGGAGGAAGTTGAGACCACTCAAAAGCATCATTTTGCCTCCAGTAGCAGGGTAGCTGTTCATGCTCTGCTTCTCCACCAAAGGAAGCTCTTGAGCTGAGCGTTGAGCTACAGAAAGACACACACAGACACATGAACACACACAGTTTCAACACAGAGTTCAAATCCACATCAACACACTCACTGATCACAATCTACTTTGAATAGGATGTGTCCACGACATGACACGACCAGTAGAAGAGCAGCTTTTCATTATACAAACAGGCTTATCAAATTTATTATGATGATTTCATGACCCCTAGCTAAGATCTTCTCAGCCAACAGCTGCTTTAAAAATGACATTAAACAAGGCGTAAGACTGATAAAAATAACCAGTTCATGGTCAGATCTTTAGTCATTATTTCCATCATACAGCCTGCAGCCAACCAACTGTCTCTGTTGTTGTTAAACTGAGGCAAACTTTGACCTCTGGAAATGGTGTCATCATTCAGAGCCAGGTAATTGCACTGCATACTTATTATTACACACTTATGAATTGTATCTAACAAATTACACAAAAAATGTGTAATGAATAAAAACAATGTGACAGTGAACCAACTTTAATTGACTTAGACTTTCAACCTCAAACTATAATGCCAGCTCTGTATCATTTCCTTGCTTTCATTATAGTTTTTTGGTGCGCAAAAATAGCATCACACCTCTGCACACAAGTGAAGGACAAAGAAACAGAAGTTTCTTTCAATGAACCCATTCAAATGCGCCAACAACCGGTGCTGGCAAAGGACTTTTGTGGAACCTGTGCTAATAATGTGGTTTTACCACAATAACTAGTGCATTCAGTCTTAAACTTTGAATTTAGGAAAGACAACACATGTGTTTGGCATCATGTATAGTCCATCTATTGCCAAGGCAAATCCCTTTATTATATAAACCTTATTGGGTCCAGAAGTATTGAATTTGCTCCAGCAGGTAATAAAATAGTAGCCTATTTTATTGGATTACAACAATAGGTTCTACTTTTAGTCTAAGTGGATAGCCAAGAAAAAAAAAACAGTTTGTGTGTGTGTTAAACTCTTAGACTTACAGCATTCAATGGGGTTTGAAGCAACCTGGAGGGACACCGTCCTGTCATTGGGCTGGTTGATGTGGACACGAAACACCAACCTCACACGGGTGTTTTTCCGTCCAATGTCTGTTTCTCCTTTACGTAGCTCAATGTCTGAATTGCGCAGCTTCAGGATTCCTGCACAATCGATTCTAGTATCATGGTACATAAGCAAAATAAATAAATAAATAAATATTGTATTAATAACATCATTGTCATTTATGCAAAACTGTCTAGCAAATGTCTAAAGTCCCTCAATGGTGGTGCCCCTGACAGAAGGTCCAGTTGGTACCTAAAATGATTTTGCTATTAGAGTATATCAATCCTGCTTTAACCTTTTTTTTTAACAATTCAGTAAATGCAGTTTGAATTTAAACTGCTGCTAATCATTGCCACGTGTATCAACAAATCCTTCCCTAAGCTGTCTGACTTTACTTACTTCATTTTACAATTTGGGAGGTAAATGGCTAAAATTTCTTTCCTTTTATTTGGTGGGAAAAAAACTTGCAGCCATGGTCTTTCATAAATTTAAACAAAACTAGTGTGGCTGGTAAAAGTGAGTGAAAACAAATGGGATTTGGTTTGGCATTTAAGTAATTTTACATGGTAGATTTTTGGGCACTATTCCTGGAACATGGCATATTTTTTATTTTTATTTTTTGTTTCCTAACTTTGGTTTGCGCAATCTGAATGAGAAAAAACTTCACTGAGAAGTCTTGCTGCCACTCCTTATCATAGTTGCATGATCTGCTGTTTTATTTTGCACTTATTTCCATAAAAATGTGAGCTGATTGACCACACAAATCAAACAAGATATGTTTCATGCATTTAAAACCATTAAGAACCAAGGGAGGTTTAGTTTGTGCTCTAAATAATATGTCCAAATGTAATTGAGTGCATTTAATAATTCTAAACAATCTTGGTATCAAAATAAAGCAAACCCTTGGGAGATTTAATTGTAAGTATTGCAGCAGCTGCTGTTGCTTCAGAGATAGTGAGGATGGAACATTGATGTTTTTCTGCATTTTTTAGTATATAACTCTTTTCAAAACATGAATTAGGCTAAAAACTTTTGGAAACCATAAATTCACAGGTTGATATTACCTGTGCAAGTTTTCATGCTGCTGAAGTAAGCTACAGAGGTTTTACTAAAGAACTCTGTGTTTTTTCATTTGGAACAGGATGGACCAATTTGGAAACATCAAAGAAATCTTAGGTTTTTAATTGCAAAAATGTATTATTTTTTCTTAAATGCCTGATAAAACTTGTTTTTAATTGTTAATATCTAAATTACCTATACAATTGTTTTTCACACTATTCTAAACCAATGAAAAAATGTTATTTTTGACTCCAACTATAGCATAATAGCTAAAAATTAAGTTTTCTAAAAACAACTTTCAAAACACTTCACAACACAAATTGGTATCCCTGGCTTGAATTTCTACAAATAAAAATGATCAAAATACAGATTTGCTCTAATGCGTTTACAGTTCACTGTTTGTGGTTTTAACTGTATTTGGTGGATGTTGAAATATTGTATACCCAAGATGCTGATGTTTCTGTGGATACTGCATGTCTATGTTTAACAAATGATGGAAATGGAAAACAGGAAGTACAATTGTGCCCCCTATACTGGTGGCATGGGGCTCAAGAAGGAAAACACAGATTTACAAATGCAGATAAATTTCTGAACATCCTTTCATTAGAGAAATTAGAGAATCATCCAATGAAAATCATTATTGATTTGATTCTTTAGCTGTCTCCTTTCTCAGCAACATGGTCTCACTCCTGACTCATCACATATTGACGCTTGGTCAGGTACCATCTGCGTCCAGTTTTGATGCATCGGGTAACCCGCTCGCATCAGTTATTGACGCCCGCAGCCTTTCCAGGTTGCGCCACATAGGAGTCTTTGGGTTGGGGGTCTGTGGTTAATATTAGGGATCAGGAGTAATGGATCATTTTAGGTATTGTTACCTGGAGCGTCAAAACTGGACGAAGATAGTATCTGACCATGCATCAATATGTGACAATTTGGAAGTGAGAATGGGCTGTCCTCAGATGTTCAACTGGATTTAGATCAGGTCTCAGAAAATCACTTCAGAACAGTTCAATGTTAGTTTTCAGCTGTTCTTGGGTGTTCTTAAATGTGTAATTTGGGTCATTATCCAGTTAGAGAATCCATGCTCTGCGACTCATACTGAGCTTTCTTTCACTAGGCAACATGTTTTGCTTTTGAAGGCCTTAATTGTCTTGATAATTAATTGCATCCTGCACAGGCTCAGAACATAAAGTAACGTCTGAGCTTCACTGTAGGTGCAACGTTTTTTTTTTTTTTTGTGTGTGTGTGTGTGTGTGTGTGTGTGTGTGTGTGTGTGTGTGTGTGTGTGTGTGTGTGTGTGTGTGTGTGCAGCATTTCCCTTGCAGGTCTGTGAATAAAGAGTTAATGGAACTTACAGTAGCTCCAGGTTTGTCTAATCTATCCACTGGACATTTTCCAGATGGATAAATGTATTGTATGGTTTTTCATAAGGTAGATTCAGTTAAGAAATGCACATATGATGATTTTATTTTGAGAATAACAAAAAAAAAACTGGAGCTGGCTGAAAGTATGGGTGCCGTTTTCTATTTTCTTCATCCCACACAGTAAATAAATTATTGCTGGCACTAAAGCAGAGAGACAGATGTTGTTATCAGGGTGGCTGTTGAACATCTCAGTGGAGGGTGACAGTTAGTCTTTTTTTCATCTTTGTTAAAAGATCAAAGGAAATAAGAAAGGAACTTTCCCTCCTCTGCTTTTAATCTGAGGGCAAATGACAAAAATGAGAAAAAAACATACTTCCTTTTCAGGAGTAATTATATATATATATATATATATATATATAAATATAAACACATCTCTGCTATTTTTTTGAATTTTCAGAAAGTATTAAAATACAGATTACATTTGATAAAACTAAATCAACTGCAGTTAAGAGGTAATGGCCTTATATAACGCTCAAGCAGTGGATTATCCGTAACATAGAGTTCTGGGCCTAAGTCCAAGAACTTAGTCTGAAAGAAACCCCAGGACAGAAACTACTGCATGGATACACTTCGAGTTCTTCAATTCTGGAGAGAGAGTGAGGAGAATAAGCTTGTTGCCTGAGTCTAATAAATTGCAAAGTTTAGTACATTGTCAATGATAAGGCATAGATATATTAAATACAAAACATTTTGTTTGTTTTTTTAAAGCACTTCCCACTTCTAGAGGTTCAAACAATGCTGCTTACTGGGTTAGCTGAAGTATTTAAAGCAGACTGACATAACAATAAAAATATTTAATGTTTTCTTTTTCAAAGTTATTTGGCTTTCTATGGTATAAAACATTCTTTATTAAACTTTAGCTCTTTGTTCTCAAATTAATAGTTTAGAGCTTTCATAGTGGATATCTGTGTAAAGTTTCTTAAAAAATAATTGCATCTGTTGTAGATAGCTTATTAAACAGCCTCATTTTAAAGAAAAAAGAAATAAATCGGAATGTTCAGATGACTATTTGCTTCTTCAAATGCAGCTAAGACTAAAGTGGATTTCTGCCATCTTAAAACTCCAATCTCAGTTTTTTTCATCAGTTAATAAAATAACTAAATAATAAGAAATTATTATTA